ATTGATAAAAACAATTTAAATGAAATTATTTATGATTTATCTACAAAATAGAATTATCTATAAATTTTAATGTTAATTTTCTGTATTTGTACTACTTTTTTCTTCTCTAATATTCTGTAATGTGTACATATTGTACGAAATAAATATAATATTATTATTACTCTTATTAGCTTAAAAAAAAATCCCGTTTCTGAGACTTATGATTGGTAAAAAAAATGGCGCATCTGTACCTGATACGATACAATTTATGCAATTCTATATATATGCTGTTTCTTTTCCCTATATCTAGTCCTCCAGTCTACACGGTGCAGGAAGCGGTGAAATATCTCGATAGATGTGGCTCTTGATAATACCAAACTAGTGTTACATTACATTATTAATTTATAATACGAATTATGAAACTTTGATATTATGATACTGATAATGATATGATTAATCAAAAACTATCTCTAATAATGACATGGGTATATCAAATTTCATTATAATAAAAATATTGGAAAAAAATATTCTTCATGAAGGATGCTTTTAATTTTTCCGGGGTATTTTACAACTTAACATATTTTCAGTTTCTTTTTTTGCATAGCATACATTTTTTGACAGGTGGAATTTTAATAAAGCAACATTTTATATGAATTATATGAAACTGTATATCTTCAATGATATAATTAAATTCATATAATGAATTAAACACCACCTTGAAGATTTGACGATAAACGAATAGTTTATTTGACAGTCAAATCTACTATTGTAGTGTAGCACGTAGTCCTTGTTATATTATATGCATATGGTCGTAAATCACATGTGCACATATTTCTGATCACTTCATTCACTGCAGAATTATTAAATGAAGGTTTTTGGAACATATCCTGTAGGTATACAGATTTTGCTTAAGTTCCAATTTATGACGGTCGGGACGCGTTTCTGATATACCTAGCACCAGTTTTGAGCGGCGTATTAAAGGAATAAATGAGAATCCACAACACGCATGAGAATTTACTCCAATGTCTGATTCATCTTTCTATACTGTGCCAATTTGAGACTGTCTTCACTTTCAGGGAATTTGCAAGGTTCATATTTTGACGTCTATAGTATTTTGTAATAACTGTGTGCGTGAATGTCTGAAAAGGTGACGTTTATGTAGCTGAAATTAAGCTCAGGTATCGTAATAATATAATGGATCTAATCTTCTAAAAAATATCTGCTGAACCAGATTCTATATCCGAGATAAACCCAGATTTCTTCTCTGATGAATATTTGTATGATGTCATCGACAATCTTAGTTCCATCAATGTCAAGTCGAAATTCTGAAGGATATATCCATAAAATACACCGTAAAAATGGATGAGCCGATATTAGCCCGATATATCATCCTGTTTTGTCGATATACAATGATATATGTAATGATAGTAAACATGATATTGACTACCGATAAGAAGGGTTAAAACAAGAGACATCTGTGTCTAATGATTGATTGTTTTATAGTTATATATGGGGCCTATATTTCAATAAGAGACCTATAAATAATATTGATAAGATATATATTTCTACTTAACTTATTTTATATTGGGGCTATATTTATAGAATACTGCCTTTTTAAAAAATTTTCTTCCAACTTTTTGTTTTTAGGCACACACGTTTGAAGGAATATTAACTCTAATTCACATAATATTTAATCTGAATATCTCATTCCTGGTTAAAAGGAGTATATATTTATCAGTTAGACCAGGTGTGATGACTAAATAATAGAATCTTTATATAAGACGGTATATCAGTTAAACTAAATAATTATTGAAACCCGCTTCTGAGCGTGTTTCAAAATTACTTAGTTTTTTGACTAATGGATCGCTTCTTAGTCTTATGGGTTTATTTGATTATAGATAAGGGTTGTTGAAAAGAAACTAGTTACCATTGACAAGCAACTAGTCACTATTCAACAGAAGGTACTGGCACTGATATGTATAGAGTATCTGGCGAAGTTACATTAAGGGGCAATAACTCGATGTTAGAGTTGTTTGTATTGGAAGTCGAAGCCATCCTAATTTAAGTTAATCTAAGTTGAGTAGCATTAAGTTGAAGGAGGGTTATTCATTTATACATGTACAATCCATTAGCAATGTACACATTACCACATAATCTTATAAAATATCACCCATGTAATATCAAAATAGACTGTACATGTTTACTGCAAGTTTACTACCATTATTGATCAATATGTCACTTCATGTTCAATTTTCAGTTCATCACGTTTTAATGTTGAAATCAGTCTAATTGTGTCCTAAATTTACACAAGAACAGTTTTTACGCTAAATGATTGGCATTTATAAAAATCGAAATGACGGCAAGTGAGCTATTATAAATTTGAATTCGCATTTGTAGCCTACAGCTTTAAATTTAAATGGTCCCAAAATGTTCGTCTCTCTCAAGTCTTTGATTTACATGCTCGAAGTTTTCATGGTGACAGGCTGCACAGATGGATTGGTAGCAAGAATCAAATGTGTCAAGCTATTACGAACTTATACCTTGACTGCAATAGCAACCTTTCTTGTATAACAGAAGTTTGTACATAAAGCGATTTGGTTGGATTGAAGGCCTATACGTTAGCGAATCAGAGTCTTCGACAGAAAGTTTGTAAACACTAAGCCAAAATGTTTACAGTCTGTCTGTTGAAGATTCTGATTGGCTGTATTCGCTGGCGTACCATCTAATCAAATCGCTGCATTCCATGATACAAGAATAGTGGATATTGCTGTCAAGATATATTAAGACGAAATTCGTCATAATTTCACATTGTGAAGATGATGTACGGATATTTGTTAAAATTGTGACATTTCGGAAGTAATCCTTGTTTGATGGACAATTGTTTGTCAAAAGCCGTTCACCTAATTAAAGATTCGTTTTCAACTCTTCTTTTAGAAAAAAAATTTTCTAAACGAATATACATGCACAGGAGTATATTTGCCAAGAAATATCGAAGTTCTAGTGCATTTTCTTAGTTTGACGATCGTGAGTTTTTGAAAATAAAAGATTTGTTATATTAAATCAATTGTTCAAATAAATTCAGAATTAACCTTATGTGAAGAATCAACGAAATAGTTGTTGACATCTGACTGCTCTTTGACAATGGTCGTTTCTGGCCATTATCATGTGTGTAGTATAAATACTTAAAGATAAACCTGTCAGGCCCGTAGCAACAAAAGGGGGGGGGGGGGGGGGGTATTAAAATTGGCAATGCACCCACCCCTCCGGAAAAGATGTTACCCTCCTGAAAAAAATTCTCACAACCGGCCCATTTAGTTAAGCAACAGTCCTATGCCAATCTGGATATATCACTTCCACTTCCGAGCAATCAAGTCTAGCTACGGACCAAAAGCCTGTATAAATCTCGTAAAAGGTAAATCTTAAAATTGATTTAAATCTCAAATATATTTATTTTAGTGGGAAAATGTTAATGTATTTGGTATAGTCCGGTTCAATGTTAAAATCAATGGTAGACTACAAATAGAGTCAGAGCACACGCGTTTGGTTAAAAACTTTCTCTGACTTGTCACATTTATCCTAATCTCTGACTTGTCTTTGAAAATAAACTAAATGTAACGCGATCGGAATATGTTTTTCGGCATGTTAAGAACGTTCTGCCTCCCGCCAGGCGTAGACCTACTCAAATTAGATCTTAATGTAATAAGTAATAATTAGATCATATTAAGTAATATTTAAGACATTGGCTGATGGAGCGAAGCGAAAAATTTAAAATATTAGAACTAACTTAGAGAACCTAACGCTAGCTGTCACTCAAATGTCACGTGATTGAGAAATTGTTAATGGCATAAATTTTCACTAATGTATATAGTAAAGTAAGCTAATATACTGATTGGATGAAAAAAGAAGGGTTTTAAATAAAGTAAATGCATAAATAATAGAGGGAATAAAAAGATAGATAATTTGGTCATTTGTCGCAAAAAAAATGTATCTTATATTATCAGTCGGTAGCAAGTTGCATTCTCGTCTGCTAGACGATTAGGTGCCGTGGGTTTAAACCCTCCTCAGGGTAACAACAATTCTGATGCCTGCGTCAGTGCTTCCGAGAGTCAGTCAGGTGTCGGCTTTCACTCCCTAATACCTACATTACCATATATTGCGTGGGATCATTATATTGAAAGTATGAATTATAATATTAATTCCACATTTTATTAAAAGCTAGCCCATATATCAGTTATGTGGAATATTCACATTGGGTAGGTTGAGAGTTTTAGCTATAGTTACACAATCGATTTTAACCAATAAGGTTTCAAACATTTTTACGGATCAATTTTATTGGCTAGGATTTGAGTGGACATAAACAAAATTGTACAACATGTTGCTTTTTGTTACAAATTCAATCTGGTTCATTATTGTGTTCAGTGTTTTAACACCCCTTGTTCATGAGGCTTTTACTATCTCTGAACACAAAACCAGCGGGACACATCAATAGGAAGATTTATTGTAAATAATTCAATTGTACCAAAAATACTTTCCGCTTCATAATCTTGTGAATGGACAAATTGGTTTCAGTGAATCGAACGAGTTTAGATTAACGTTTTATCGCTGGACATTAATTTCACTTTGTATGAAAGTTGGATTATAAACTCTACTCTTGTAATGTCCAGCAATTCAATAAAATTATACACCTTTTCATGGTACAAAATCATAAAAGTATTTAATGTGACCATAAATATACACGTATAAAAAATGATATTTTGTCAATGTGCTAAGGCTTTTATCTATAAAATAATGGGACATAAATATTCACTGAATAATTTTGGTGAAAAGAGCGTTTCGTGAGATCAAGGTAAGGCTTTTAAAAAGTAAAGTAAAAAGTTGTCAAACTAGCTTGTTTTCCAATTCAACCATACAATTTCCATTGAAACAGGTGAAGGCAGACGATAGACATGCGCACGAGAAGAAAATCAAGTGGAGTAAATAGAGTTGTGGCGAGTCATGGCAGAAGTGAAGGGAGATACGAAATGGATTACACTGTTATCATACCCAGTCTATTGGCTTTAGGCCTTTATTTAAATACATTACCAGCGGATTTTGCTTACGATGACAGGTAAGCGCTTTAATGATGTTGATACATATTAAAACACTGTTATAATTGCCGCTAACCCTCAGTGATAAATGCTCGAATGTTATTGCATGCTTCCCGCAGGCAGTAATCAGTATTCGGTTAAGAAACCGTTATATTGCCCCATATACCATGCCTTATCTTTATTAGTACCACATCGTTACACAATGTTGGTAAAATTAGTAATAATGAATGAATTAGTTTTATTAATGAATTATTCATTAAATAATTAGTTGGATTAGTTCGTTGAAATGGTTCAATGATGATTTACATGTGGTTTTGACTGTTGTAATGTAAATACAGTGTCGTCTGCTACGATATTTATCCAGGTCATTTCAAGCTTTTATACCAGATTTTTTTTTCAAATCTCCGAAACCTCTGATTCATGTGAATAAAATAATAATTTTACCTGTATGTGTTTCGAAACTGTAGTATGTAATTAAACTAGAAGTAGTATATCCATATAACTTGTGTTCTTAATGTTTACCTTCCAGCTTCTATATGTCTTACAAAGATTACCATAAAATCTGTATGTTCAGGTTTTTAATTAAGTTATGTAATATGCAAACTCTGACAAACCTTTCTTAGTCATAATTAGCACAATTTTGTAAACATTTTCCAGCCATTTTTGTATTGTAAAGCATTTTGAAATGTATTTTCATTAAGGTTTTGCAAATTTTAAAAACAAAAATTAGGTAGGATGACTGCCAGGTTTTTTTTATGAACAAACCTATAAATATTGATATTTCCCTCATTGCTCATTGCAAGGCGTTGTCCCTCTAATCAGCCCAATTATGTGCAGAAGAGTAGGAGGTAAAATTCCATTCATTTCATTTCATTTTGGTCATTTTAATGTCCTTTTTTGATAATCCAAAAAGATTTTTTCTCAAGGTTCCACAAACCTTACTCAAATGGAATCAAATTCAACCAGTTTTAAATCAATATTAGATGCCTCTTGGCGTAAAATTGAAATGAAATGAATGAAGTTTTACGTCCTACTTTTCTACACCATGTGGGCTAATGAAGACAGGCAACACCATGCAGAGTGCAATGAGGGAAATTTTGCCAGGACAGCGACATTAGCCTGCTCTTTTTCGATTTCCAACTGTCGAGGGATCTTTAACGTTCACAGCCTAGCACATGGGGCCACGGTTTATTGTCTCATCCGAACAACCAGACGCTTTTTTCCATGTCAGTCCATCTTACCTGCATAGAAACCAAATATTACATTGGTAAAAATATCTATCATAATATACGTGTACTTATACCGGTAGTTTATAATTGAATTAAACTTTAGACAGACAATGAATCATAATTTTTATATGCTTAGCATATTTTCTTTAATAAAGAGACAGGTTCACCATTTTTGGGGGCTGATTTAGTTTTTGACTATATTATGTAAATAGTCTGCAGAAGTATTAGAAATGTATTACAAAAATTGCTTAATTTTTTCAAAAATATCTCAAACTAGGAATTTCACTTCTGTCTTTTCTATATAAGGCAGAGTCTAAAGAAAAGACAAGTGGTCTTATTAACTTTCAAACGCGGATAATTCTGGGTACACATGGATTTGAAGCTTCAAATTTCGACTGTGATCTTTGAATACTATTACTGATGGCTTTGATATGAAATTCCTGGTTCTGTGACTAAGGTACCATTAGTCAAACTTATGGAGAACATATCCGTTTAAAAACAGATTGGTACTGAATTCATAAGTATTTCATGATGACTGATTCATTTTCATTATTATTACTGTAAAAATAATTAATTGTTATATGCACACAATCTGATATATTTATGGACTAAATTAAAATAAAATTTATATCATGTTATTCAATTTTGATATCAACCTACAAAGTGGTATGTTATTTTTGCTGAATAATTAGAACTATTGAACTATAAACTAGACCCAATCATAGTCAAATAAAGTGAAATACCCTTACAAAAAGTTTTTGAAAATGGGCCAAAGATAATTCATATATGAAATTCTTTTCTTCTTTTTCATTCAGAGGTATAAAAAGCTTTTAGGATATAACACGAATATATTGAGATCTGTATAAATGTTGTAAGAGAGGTTATTATGTTCAAATTATTGGTTGCGTTGAATAGAAAACCTTTTCTTAAGTATTTTGTTTGTTTGGTTTTCATATTGTCAGGCATAATGTAGCCATTTTGAATTATTGTTAAGTAACATTTACAAACTATACAAGTATAGGAAATTCAATACAAAATATTTAAGCACAAAAATGTTTTATAAAGTTTGCAATTCAGGATCAACATTTTTTTTGAAAATTTAACTGTATCATATGTACATTATGAGAAAAAGAATTCCTTTTCTAAGATATAAAATTTTCAATACCTGTTTATGGAATTGCCTGAATCCAAATATATTTCAACTTGCCATTCATAATCTGACAAAATTGTTATACATCTCAAGTTCAGGATTTTAGAATATCCATCCAATCCAATGCTCTGTTCTACAAAAGATTTTTTACAATGTGTTGAAATTCTGGAATATTAGTTGTTTAACAACGACCCATAATTTGAGCACACTTTCAAAATTGACAAATTTGAGACAATAGGGAAAAATTAGACTGAACATGAATTTTAAGAAGATTTTTGTAAGATTATAGAAGAGGCATATAGTAACCTTCAGAAAGAGCATCTCATGAAACTAAATGAAAAGATTTGCACTTTAATCAGATTGGAATTGCACTCACAGACCTAATTAGGTTTCCTTTAAAATCAACTTCAAACAGTACTATCATGCAATCAAAGCATTATATATGTAACTATTGCATGCTGTTTGAATCTCACAGGAAATTAACAATTTACATGCATGCCATCTATTACTTTGACTACTTTTTTGTCAAGCATAAGCTTTTTAAATAATGGATTTTTATTTACTTTAGATAGCTAATAAACCTTGGGCAAATTAATTGTCTTTAATGCTTTAATTGACTAAAGACCTTTATATATTTTTTATTGGAGAAAAATAATTTTCAATTAAAGGTGGATATCCTCAAATTTTTTGGAATCAATTACTTAGAAGATATCTTTAAAAGGATAGGCATTGCTAAGACTGATTTGTTGCTATTTTCAAAAAGCTTTAAAGGCCTTGGTTCCCCATTCAAACTAGTAATTTCACTTTTTGTTAATATATGTCTTTTCTATATAATATGGCATAGTCTCAAGAAAAACTAGTGGTCATTTTAACTATTAACTGTAGATAATTCTGTACACACATGGATTTGAATGCTCAGGTTTCAACAGCGAACTGTGAACACTATTACTGATTAGCTTAAATGATTTCTTAATCTGAGACTAAGATACAAGTGGTCAATCTGATGGCGAACGTGTCCCTTTAACAATTGAGCTAGACATCTAGACTTTTTTCATATTTAGGAGCAGAACAATATGTCATAAAGTTAAGTGGAGACATGTGAGACTGAATTCATTCTTTCCTCATTTTGAGAGAACCATTCTTTGGAGAAAGTGTTTGGAACAAGCTACATTTTGGACAGAATAAATGGAATTCAGAATAAGCCACAAATAGCTCTAAATCCAAACATCTGTTATAATGGTGAAATGCCTTGGTAAGAAAAGATGGAGTTTGAACCAAGTTGCCTCACAGACTGTTTCAGATTTTGTGACTTTTGTGATAAAAATATGAGATGCTGTCTGAGATGTTGTCTGAGTAACTGTGACATTGTAGACATATATCTAAGTAAATAATATTCAACAATGATGTCAACTGAAAATGACATTTTAGTGATGGTGACAAGTTCAATCAATCAATATCCGACCAAGGGTTTCTATCTAACTAAATAGAATTCTTAATGAATGTCTGGAATTTTTTTACTGAAACAAGTCAATTGTAACATGTATCTTTGGTTTTACTTTTAACTTGCTTTATCTTCTTGTGTTGGTCACTGATTTTTACCCATACTGTTTACTTTCTTGTGCCTGTATTGTGTATCTGTGCTGTGTAAATGCAGGTCTGCCTGTGCTGTTTACTAACTGGACATGTGCTGTTTTTTTAGTTGTACATGTGCTGATCTATTTGTAAAGTGTGCTGTTTAATTACCTGTATCTGTTTACTTAATAATTGTACCTGCACTCTTTACTTACTTTACTAACTTACTGTACTATTTACTTACTTGTTCCTGTCCTGGTTACTTTCTTGTACTGTACCTGTTTACTCACATGTACCTGTTCACTTACTTGTACTTTTTACATGTAAGTGTACATGTATTGTTTACCTGTATCTGCACTGTTCACTTGTAAGTTTTCAATTTGATGCTCCATTTGTAATAAAATGTATATTGGTTTCAATACAAAATTTCAAGGCTAATACATAATATAGATTTCAGTGAAATTATAATTATGTTGTATCAGTGAATTTTCACCTCAGCCTTTGCTTTCGTAATTTCAATTATATGTTGTTATTACAACCACTCTTACTAATTTGAATCAAACAATATAATATGTAATAATATAGGATTTTTTCGAAGGGAAAACAAAATTTGATTTCAGTGTGTAAAGTGCGCACCCCATTTTGGGGTAAAAAAACTGTGCATTACATTAGGAAATGTATGGTAATTTGAATCAAACTATATAATATGTAACAATATAGGAATTGGCTAATTTAACTTTTGCATCAGTTAGTTTCATATTCATGTGTTATGGTTTTTTTTTTTTCATTTATAAAAGCAATTACAGTAATTTCCCTGTATTAGAAATGAAATGACATGAATGGAGTTTTACGTCCCCCTGTATTAGAAGACCAATCATTAATATTTAAAAATCACAAATTAAAATATTTTTAGTACCATATTGTGAACATCATTATATTGATATAATTGAGCAATTAAATTGAAATAAAAACTATTAGAAAATGAAAAATATCACAAACAAGTACTGTCATTTTATTAGTAGAATGACTTAAAACTATTAATTATTTATATTTTAATTAAGACTCCCAT